CTTTGCAGCACTTTCTCCTAGGCTCCACCCTGACTGTTGCTCAACCAACTTGAAACAGGATGGAAGCAAAGCAGATCCAGACCACTGATTACGCTGGCAAAGCCGGGATCCCTTGTCTTCCCCAAAGGGATCTCTCAGTTCTGGGTCTGGGAGAGGGGAAAAAATGAACACAGCACTGGGCTGTTTTATTTTCTCACCAAATGGGCCATGGAAGGGGGCTCCTTTGTACCATTCTGCTTTTATTCTCCCTAAAGGCAGCCTAGAAACCTTTAAACAAATAAACCAAGTATTGAGCCATCTTGAAGACTTATACAGGCAGTCGTCGACTTACCGAGCACAGTTGAGCCCAAAATGTATGTTGCTAAGTGAGTCTTGCCCCATTTTGCTACTTTCCCTATCACATTTGTTAACTGAATCACTACAGTTGTTAAATGAGTAACACGGTTGTTACTTTGCTTGTCAGAAGGTTGCAAAGGATGACCATGTGACCCCAGGACACTGCAACTGTCATAAACACGAATCCATTGTCAAGCATCCATGTGGCCATGGGGGTGCTTCATAAGTGTGAAAAATAGCCATAAGTCACTTTTTCAGTGCTGTTTTCTTTCTGATTGAGTAAACATTAGGTGAATGTCATGCCCTTGTTAGAGTCGGACTCTGAGGGAGAGGAGGAACAGCCAACAGGGAGTGGAGGTGTGGCTCCAGAAGTTGTGGAGGAGGCTGGGGAAAGGCAGAGGCTGGCTGGGCAGTCAGCGGAAGAACCAGGCTCATCCCCTCTTCATCCTAGGACACACAGGGAGGAATGGAGAAGGAAACAACTTGGCTTACGAGAGAGGAAGCGGCCATGATCCCTCTCATTGGTTGCAACTGGGGAGAAGAGTATATAAGAGAGACGGTTAAAGCACAGCATAAAAAGCATGTTTTATTTTGGGCTGAAGTTATCTTGGTTGGCATCCTTCCAACAGACTGTGCCTTATTATCTCCTTGAAGTTGGTAATTACTTATCCTGGCCCGTTGTGGAATTTCCCATTGTAGTTTGTTTTGGGTTTTTTATTTCACCTCTATCTGCTCATTAAGTTCGGACTGTATTGCTTTCTTTTGAAGACTATTTTTGAATGAGTTTTATCTCCAGCTGAGAATTATTGAACAGTGGGGCCAAGTTGGAGGCATTAAAGGACATTTATTTACGTTTTGTATTTTGTTAAGTTTGTGTTACACTACGGATCATCACAGTGAATGAATGGCTATAACTCCATCCGTTTTAGACTCTGACTCTTCCCACTTTGGGCTTCGGCCATATCCTCGTATGCAGGGGTGGGATTCTCCCGGTTCGGGTGAACTCCTTGCTCCAAAGATCAGCTGTCTCAAAACCGGCTCACTGCGATGAGCATGTGGGC